GTAGACATAATGTCATGACGTGAAGACATGACATGATGTCATGACATGTAGACATAATGTCATGACGTGAAGACATGACATGATGTCATGACGTGTAGACATGATACATGATGTTATGACATGTAGACATGATGTCATGATGTGTAGACATGACGACATGGTGTCATGACATGTAGACATGATGTCATGATGTGAAGACATGACATGATGTCTTGACGTGTAGACATGATGTCATGACATGTAAACACCATGTCATGATGTCATGACAAGTAAACATGTCGCATGTTTACACAGGATGTGACATGGTTAGGGCTGCCACAAACGATTATTTTAATAATCGATTAATCACCTAATATTTATTCGATTAGTTGACTAATCAGATCANACTCTGGTTTTACTCTGCATTAACTCTGGTTTTACTCTAGTTTAACTCTGGTTTTACTCTGGATTGACTCTGGTTTAACTCTGGTTTTACTCAGCTTTGACTCTGGTTTAAATCTGGTTTTACTCAGCTTTGACTCTGGTTTTACTCTGCATTGACTCTGGTTTAACTCTGGTTTTACTCTGCATTAACTCTGGTTTTACTCTAGTTTAACTCTGGTTTTACTCTGGATTGACTCTGGTTTAACTCTGGTTTTACTCAGCTTTGACTCTGGTTTAAATCTGGTTTTACTCAGCTTTGACTCTGGTTTAAATCTGGTTTTACTCAGCTTTGACTCTGGTTTTACTCAGCTTTGACTCTGGTTTTACTCTGCATTGACTCTGGTTTAACTCTGGTTTTACTCTAGTTTAACTCTGGTTTTACTCTGCATTAACTCTGGTTTTACTCTAGTTTGACTCTGGTTTAGCTCTGGATTGACTCTGGTTTAACTCTGGATTGACTCTGGTTTAACTCTGGTTTTGCTCTGGATTGACTCTGGTTTAACTCTGGATTGACTCTGGTTTAACTCTGGTTTTACTCTAGTTTAACTCTGGTTTTACTCTGCATTAACTCTGGTTTTACTCTAGATTGACTCTGGTTTAACTCTGGATTGACTCTGGTTTAACTCTGGATTGACTCTGGTTTTGCTCTGGATTGACTCTGGTTTTACTCTAGTTTAACTCTGGTTTTACTCTAGTTTGACTCTGCTTTAACTCTGCTTTAACTCTGGTTTAACTGGTTTAACCCTTTGTTAAACCAGGTTTGATTTGACTCCTGATTCTTTGTTTCTTGTGAAACCAGGTTCATTCATGAACAAAGGGTCCAAATGTTCAGGGTTTTGATTTGAATTTGTTCTGATCCAGTTTGATCCAGTTTAGATTCAGTAAAATTCAGTTTGGATCCAAATTAAATTAAGTTAAATCCAGATAGTTCTGGTCAGATCTGATGAAATCGGGTCAGATCCAGTTCAGATTTAGTCAGTTACCATTTAGGTTTCAAGTCCAGGTCTCCAGGTCTGTGCTTGTTCTGGTGGTTCTGGTCTCTGTGGATGGAGTTCTGGCAGAAAGGGACAGAACCTGAACCCAGCAGCGGCCCGTTCCCTGCTGACCTGTGTGTGTTTCAGTTGATCGGATCAGGTCCGGTTACAGATCTGAGTGTTTCGGTCGGACCCAACAGAACCAGAGTTTATCTGAGTAGTGAAATGGTCAATCAACGGAACTTTTAGAACCATCTGCAGGAGAACATAGAGAACATCTGTCAGAGGTTCTTTGGACCTTTTCTGGGCTGAAATCAGAACCGGTACTGTTCTTGGGCTGATGAGAGCGGGCTGGGCTCTGACCCGATGTGAGGATGTTGTTTTCAGGTTCTGAGTCTCCAGCTGCTGTCTGACGGAGACGAACAGAACGTGTGAAAAGAAGCAGAACAAAAGCCTGAGAACAAAGAACGTCTGCTGAAGTCCGGGGTGACCCACATGAGGGACTGATGGGGGTCAGGGAGACCGAGTCCTGACAGGGACACGCCCACACACAGGGACACGCCCACACAGAGACACGCCCACACACAGAGACACGCCCACTCACACAGACACTTAAACCTGGTAAAGGAAGTAGTTCGTCCTGTAGGGACAACTCTCAGCTACTACCACAGCAGATAAGAGCAGTTTGGTGTTTTGTAAGGTCTTCCATGTCCAAAGTCTGCTCCTGCTGTCCTGCAGGTCAGGTCTGAGCAGAACCGGCTTCCAGGTTCCTGTTCAGCCTTAGTGACAGGAACCAACCACAAACCAGCCCCTCGTTCCTCCTGACTCCTGACCTCAGGTGGGCGGAGCTAAGAAACAGGAAAACCCCAGCATCGCAGCAGGTGATTGGTCAAACAGCTCCACCTGCTGGACAGACTGAAGAACTGCAGCTGGYATTATAATTATTCACTAAGTAAAACTGAAGGATAAAAACATTTAAAAGACCAGGACTTCACTGGAACCAGGTCCACAATCACAGTCAAGAACAGCTCCTCCAGATGTCAGCTGGATGGTGGGGGCTGATGGTTCGTGTGGACCCTGAAGACCTCTGTGGACCAAAGGGTTCTACGTGAGTCCATCGGTGTGACAGCTGAAGTTTGGACCAAACTGGGTCCAACAGAACCCTGATCCAGAACCCAGCAGCTGATCTACAACAGAAGGAGTCTGAAAGAAGAACCAAGGTCCTGCAGTGGTCCAGAGTCCTGAGCCTCTCTCAGCTCTGACCTGGACCCTCGCCGGTCCCCTTGTGGCCCCACCCCCATCAGACAGGAAACGGACGCAGTGTTTTATTTTGAAAATGAAACTTTATTGAGCAAACAGGAATGTGGAGGCGCAGCTGCACACGGTGCAGACACACGCCTCCTGATTCATGAGGTCACTTCCTGTCAGCTCCCAGGAGGAGGAGGAGACAGACGGGATCAGCTGGAGCCAGCTGGGACAGTTTACACATTTAGCCCCTCCCCCTCCAACCTGATGAGGTTTAATACAGAGGAGGGGGCGGAGCCAAGCGTCAGGTAAACAGAGAAAGGCACAGGGTGACACGGGAACGCTGTGAGAAGGTCAGCGAGCAGCAACGTTGAGTCAACACAGATAACAGGCCGGTCCGTGGGGGCGGGGCTACGGCTGTGGGCGGGGTTTGTAGTTATACAGGCGGGGCTTGTGTCTCTGCAGGAATGATGGCGATCAGAGTTCAGGAATGTTTTTGCCGCTTCTCTTCGGGTCAAAAAACGTGTCGGCGTCTCAGCTCCCTGCTGCCGCCGTGCTGTGGCCCCGCCCCCTGTCGATGACGTCACTCTACATGCCCATCCTGATGCTCTGGATGATCTGGAAGATGGCTGCAGGTGCAACAGACAAGTTTTAACATTTATTTTATTTAAGAGGAATTTTTTTAAATATATTTTGTAATCAGACTATTTAATTAATCGTCTGGAGCTTAACGAGCGCTAACATCTGGACCCTGATCAGAGTGAGACCTCCTGTCAGGAACAGATCTGTGCGCTCAGATAAACTCCATCCATCCAGTTCTGTTTAGAGCAGCGTGACTTTTATTTTGAAAGGACAAGCTTCACCACACTCTGACGTCAGCAGGTGGAGGGTTATATTCACTGTWTTTACCTGTAAACCTGATCAAAGGATGGAGGAAGACTCACCTGATCCACAGACGACGAAGATGAAGAGCGCCAGCAGCCATGGCCCCACCCCCTTATCCTCCACCAGGCTCCTCTGAAACACAGGAAGTATTGATCATCAATCACCTCTCATCACTCAAATCAACTTTTATTTTGAAACACTTTCCTTCGTCCTGTTTAGTGTTAAATGTGTTTTTTTCCTCACAGCTCATCTATAAGTGGTCTGTGACGTCACTTCCGGTTACTAATTGATCAAAAGCCTGTGTCTGATCTGTTTATTGACCAGCTGATCAGAACATCCGGAACAAAAACAATGGGCTGAACGAGTCAGACCGAACCGAACCGAACCGGTCGGTGTTACTGATGGGACAGATGGAGCTGCCTGTGGAGTAGAGGGTTCTGGTTTCGGCTCGGTTCTGGACTCACCGCTGTCTTGGCCACGTTCCCGCGCTGCGTGATGTTCTTGCTGTGTTTCTCGTTCGCCATCCGGATCCTCTGCTTGGCCACCATCTTGTTTTCTCCTCGTTTGTTTGTTTCTTTTACTCGGTTCTTGTTTACCGCCTCGCGCTCGCCGCTCCGCTCGTTCTCCGTCTGGGGACGAACTCTGGTTTGTCTACGTACTCAAAAAGCTGGAGCTCCGCCCACACCGCCCTGACCACGCCCCCGGGCCGCGCAGAGACCCGAGTCAAGCCAGCTGCCGCTGCAAGGCTACATCCGGTTTCTGGTTTCAAAATAAAACAGTAGAAGCTGTGCAGTTAAAAATGAAGCAGATCTAATAAATTACTTGCTGTAGGTCTCAACGTTTTGTCAACAATTTGTTTTTTATTTAGTTTGTTTTACATCATTTTTATTTATTAATCAAAACACTATTTATTATAAATATTGATCTGATCAGACA